GTTCGATAGGAAAGCTTAGAAAATCTCAAAAATTCTCTTTTTTTTTTTTGTTTTTGTTTTTTTTTTTTTTTTTTTTTTTTTTTTTTTTTTTTTTTTTTTTTTAAAAAAAAAATTTCTTAGGCATCTATGTGCGTAAATGAATGCCTAGTTATAAATAACACTATTTTACATTATAATGTAGTTCGGTAGAAATCCCTCCACAAGTCCCATGTGATTTACAGAATCCTACTAATAGGAAAATTTAGTCTTATCGAGATGAAGTTATGAGTTGCTTGGGGCTAGCAACTAACTGTTCCAGGCAATTGGCGGGGGCAGTTGATCCGCTCGTTGACTTCGCTGAAGTTTCTCATGTCTGCTCCAGGAAATTGGCGGCGAGGACTTCCCCTGGTATGTTTACCTCGAGACGCCTTACTTTATGTCTGCTCCAGGCAATTGACAGTGAAGTTATGAGTCAATAGATATTCAAGTTATTTCTTGATGGTCACTTCGATCTTTCAATAGCATCAGCATGGAGTGTCGAGTCCACTCGAACTCATCCAACCCCTCCCAGCTAAGTGAGTATATATAATAATAATGCTGTAATAATGCTATCAAAGAGAAAGAGAATATGTGAGTCCCACATCAAGTTATCTCTTTGCTCTCGAATATATTGATGGGTAGGTTGATCAAAATTTATTAGTTTCGTTTGTTATTTTTTGAATCACTTGCACAAGGCGGGTTTTCGGCTCGTCTTTACATAATTTGCAAATGAGTCTAAGGATTGATTTTGGAGAATCATGTCCGCGTCACGAAATCAGATCATGCGCCATAATTTACAACAAGCTCAACGAGAGTCTTTTTAGTGCACATAAACTTTGAGTATATGCAGAATAAATTACTTGTTCCGTGATATATGATATCCGTCGTCTATTTATCAAATACTGAATCGATGATGAGAAATATTAGCATGCAACTTGTGGAGTATGTAATTGGGTTATTCATTAGGGAAAATAAACAGGAGCTAGTTTGTATGTATATTGTTGCATTATTACATCATAGGTGGAATCAAAGATCATGCGAGTATTCAGATCAAAATTCGGAATTAAGAATAAACGTTTCTCAGGCATTCACCTGAACACTTTTTATTAAAGCTCTTCTTGTCAGCAAATTTATCTTCATGTAATCTCAAATCAAGATGTAGTATACCTAGCTCTAGCCAAGATGCCAATTATATCATGCGGTCCCTTTATATGTTTAGTCGAAACATTAAGCATGGCCAAGTTTTACTGGGATACTTCTATCTATTACTATGGAAAGAATCCAGCACCTGGCGAGTAATTCGGTTCGGTAAGTCACATGGTAAAATCTTCCGAACAAACCACACCTGATCGATTACTTCTTTTCTGACACGAGGTAGTTAATTCTGCCCTACAAAATAGAGATACGCAGAAACTATCGACCGCGAAAAAGATACACGTATAAATACGGTCGAATTCCATCGTCAAAAATCATCGAGTTAATTGTGATTGATATTTATTAAATTGTTGCAAGCCCTTCGAAATCGAATTACTTTCATTTTTCTGTAAGTGTCTAAAATTATACGATACGGACTATTGATTAGAACGGAAGCGTTCGAAAGATATTGGTATACAATTACGCGAATAGCGGAAAGCGGCAATCTATTGACACAGCTTAGGCTCATACCCTTCTTATTGATAAACGTATAAGATAAAATTATAATGAGTGTGGGAACATTGACTAGTCAAAATACCAAACCGAAGATTAAATTAAAAATTAAATTCCCCTTCGATTAAATTGTTGTTGTTTGATAATCGTTGGTACCCTTATTTGGATACGAGTGGAAAATACATCGTATAGGGAGTATTAAACGCGAATTAATTTTTATAGGTCATTCGAAGCATAGTTCAGTCTCAATTGTACAGCTACCAGAGTAAGGGCGGCAGTACGAGCTAAGCTTGGTAACATCACCTGGTTGGTGAACACACCTACATAAAAGATGATATCACTCTCCCACTCATAAATACATACCAACCCAACCATAACAATACCAATACCAAAGTGAAGATGATAACATATTATTCACCCTATTAATAACTTCTCATCTTATAGTATTAGCTCATCACATTTAAATAGGGTCTGAGCATTCAAGAAGGTAAGAATGATGCCCAACATAAGCACCTTATGCTCCTTGTTAAAACAGGAGCAAGGCAAAAATGTTTTCAAGCAACTGAGGATTTTAATGTGATTAGATTCAAATTAGATAGGTTTCATTATAATTAGAAAGAAAACATAATAATAAGTCTTCAAAAAATACACTACTTTCATTTTGTCGTTCAGATTTGTTGATTTTGTCAACAAGAGTTGTCTTTATATCCGCTTAAAATTGGGTGTAATCTGACATTGCAGTAATGTAATTTATAAGTTCAAAATGATTACTTTTGCTCTCAGTTCACTAAGTTATAAGTATTAACCCAACTTTAGACTTCGCGATTTCCTCACTTCTCTTCCATATGATTTTATTAAGAACGCTCTTACCTACTGGAGATCTGCTTAAACCAAGGAATAATTCTCATCAGTTACCTTCCTTATCAGATTTCAGCCTGCCAATTTAGAGGTAGAGTTAGGGAGGTTGACGAGGAGTAAGGGATTTAGTTTGGATTTAGTGGCGCTTACGAAGACAACAATTGGTTCTGTTCATGTGACTCGCTCTTTCGAATAAACTTGTGATTCGCAGTTTATACGAGCTTTATTCAGGAGTTTACTCCTCTTCCAATTAAATAAATAAAACACGACATTCTTCCATGTACAGTATGTCAATATTAGTTGAGTTAAAAAGATGCCATGCACGTTTACTGTTAGCTGCCTTGCTGGGGTTATATCATTTGAATATGTACTGTACTAAACTCCGTTTTTCTTTTCCAACTCCTCGATTCTTTTTTCAAGTTTATGAAACTGGTAATGAGTTGATGCTAATCTTTCCTGAATAAAATGCGTAGCTATATTCGAGCCTTGTTCTTGAAAGCTTCATTGTCAATTTCAGCACCCTGACGTTGTTTTCATACCAAACCAATTCTTTTCTAGTTGGCCCTTTTCTTGCTCTTCATGGATAATGTTATAATCCACTCATTCCCTCGAAGATCTGTCGCCATTCTTATCAACGATGCAAGTTTAACGGCTGTATGAAATAATGTTTGGTCTGCACCATGCCTAACCTCTGGCCGAGAGTTTGAGCAAATACTGACAGATCGTTGTTATATTCGGTGGTGGGTAGTCAAAAGATTTTGTATTTGATAATCGAGTATGCTAATAATGGTAAGAATTATTAGGGATTATAATAATTGATAGACTGCATTTTGAAAATCGAAATCATGTGACATTTTTTTCCTCTCCGAGGGTGCACAAATCTGTTAGTGAAAAAGATACATCAGACAACCTCCAAGGTAAAGCTACTCAAGCTTTGGGCATGATCGCACAAATATATTGAGATAATGAAGTTTAGAACATGATTCTGCGATTACTCACAGATGCAGCAATTCATATCAAATTTTATTAAAGTTCGCACAGATGAGATCGACATTTCTTGGATAATTTTTACAAACGACTACTATGCGGCAGAAACGAGCAAAGCAGTATAAACGACATATGACTCTATACCATATTTCATTTGGTTTTAGGGAACCGTATCAAATTCTAGGTTAGCCTTGTCCTGTTATTAGTTCGGCGCTATTGTCTTTTGAACAATTAAAATAATACTGTTTCATCTTGGTAGTTGATAGCTCGTTCCTCTTGACTGTTGCCACATATAAAATTGATATCAAGACCTTATTACCAAAGGTTATGCAAGGAGTGATTAAACACAGTACGTTAATAGCTGTCTTTTCTCTGACATTCTATTCTACCTCTAATGTTTCATTCTTTTCACAGTGTACACATTATGTGTATTTAATGAACTAAAATCTAGTGACCAAAACTTTGTCCCCGAATTGCTAATTGAAGGTTTCGAACGCCGCGGGTGTCCCCATAGAAAGAAACCCGTTTCCAGCGATGAGTGCTTGGCATCTATAATAGGTACTATTATACAATCACATTACGCAATCACTTCTAATCAGCCGAGGAGATAACACCGATTGTATAATTTTTGTAAGGTAGTGAAAACCAACACAGATACTGTATCGCGACCCAAAACCGAAACCTTCGTGAGCAATTACGCGCTATACCAGGAGTTCCATTGATATATATAAACCGGACGGTATTGATTCTTGAGCCACCCTCTAATGCCACTCTTGAAAAAGCGAGAGAGGTCGGTGAGATCTAACAAAATAATTTGCTTTGTTTGTACGGGACATTAGATGGTTTTCTTATATCCATACTATTCCCACATTTGATCTATAGATTGAACGCCTAAAAACGCTTCCGTCCCAGCAGGAAATCTTGTTCCTCCACAAAGCAAACCCAGATGCGACCAAAAACGATCAGCTACCAAATAAACGTAAACTTAAGCGTCCAAAAGGTCCAAATCCACTTAGTTGTAAGAAGAAGAAGAAAAAAGAGATTCCTCCACCAAAAAAGAAACGCAAAAAGGAACTTAAGAATGAGGAAGGTGGTGAACACGAGACTAGGATAACAGAATAAGCGGGCAAGCTCTGAAAATTATTGAAGAAAATCGCAACCAGTGGTTTGAAAATTAATTATATTAAACATGTAATGAACAACTTGTATCTCGTGCAAACGTGAAACAAAACCAGGAAGACCAAACCACACCGCTTCATAATCTGCAATTTTTTAAGCTTTCTTTTGTGTTGTTGTCACTTTGCAGTGGGCGTTAATTGATATTGACTTCTGTGGCGTGCCGATTATACTGGCATGAGTTTTCAAGGAGGCTTGCTTTTCGCTTTGCACTAGATCGAGCTCGTAGTTTGTCTAGTTCTAAGAGGCGGGAAATGATCCGAGTAACATTAATACCAAAAGTCAAAAATGCTGGTTGGATATTATGAACGTCGTATTTTGACGATGATTTCCAAACTTCATCGACAAGGATGAGGTGAAACAGGCCCTTATGATGAACGAGACCATTATAGCTTCACCTTGAACGCTGTGTTCAATAGAACGTGCAAAACAAGAATAAGAAGCGATATTCTTCATGCATTTGTCAACATACTCACCAACATCTTGGAAGCCCCAGAAAACCAGATCGGAAGTATCAACGCCTTGCAGCTCTTTTTGTGCGTGGTACCAGATATCTCGCAAGTTTTAGCTTATCACGCCATTCTTTTGCTAGCGAACATTGAGGAATGACACCAGACACTTTCTCAACCGCGATCTCCGTTCTTCCATATAGCCCCCGAAACTTTATGTTCACATCAGTCTTATAGCCAATCAATCACAATTCGCCGCTAAGGAAAGTTTCTCTATTCAGTATAGCCACACATATAAAATAATATCTAAACCTCAAAATTTTTCATAGCGATCTCCTTTTTAAAATTGAATGCAGTGTCTCTAAGATTTCGCAAGGTCACAAAATATGAAGCGTGTTCCTTTTGGCGATTTTCTGTAAACGAAGAATGTTTTTGTCGACGCGTTAGATACTCAAGAAGGTAGTTATCAAGATCCTTTCGGAGCACAATCTTTGTTGGCTTCATAATTAGACTCAGGACGCCGCAAAAGGAAAGTTCCTAAAAAATTTCTTTTATGCAAGGGAAAAGACGAAGGGCAATGAAAATAAACGCGAGCTTTACTTATTATTATACACTGATAGCAGATTTGTGTGACTAGGTGCAGAACTTTTACTGTGTAACCGAGTCTTACTATTTTTTTTGAAATATGATTGGCTCTCGCGTGTGAATATTAGTTAGTGCACAGAGTAAAAGACGTCTAGTTCCGATAATCCCTCGCGTACAGCTTTTTTGACTCTAGATTTGCTATTACTATGTACTGTACATAGTTCATTAAGGCTTAGCATATCAACGCCAATTATGTGATAACCCAGATCGAGAATGAGACATACAAGCCTAAGGACAACTTTTTCACAGCGTCCACCTTCCAGAAACCGAGGGCAAAAGATTTTTCATGTCTTTTTGCAGAGCTAGTCGAGAAATACAATGAAGTTGGGTTGAGAACATGTGAAACAAAGGTTCATTTCTTTTTAGAATCTTATTCAATTTGCGAGAAACATTATCGACATCTTACAATTGTTTATTATTTAGGTATACTTTTCATGGTCGATCAACACATACGAGAACGAGTTCTCTGTCGATAACAACAACTCAAAGGTATGGACCTGATATCAGTCCCGGTCGTGCTGTTGAAGAAATATTGCGATACGGAGACTAGTATGAATAATTACTAATTGGTGTTTACCCCTTGCAACGGAAGCTTTTTTGTTATTCTAATTACTTCTCCGCCATTTACTTTCTAGTTATTCAAGTACCCCAACAACGACAATTACAATGGTGATGACTGCAACACGGCCACTTTCGCAAAAAGGCAACAAATTGAGAAAATTGCCAAATTGTCGAATGTTCTTGGCGAAGAATCATCCTTCCCTAGCTGTTGAACTTGACAGGATCTGAAGTCTAGTCAGCTGGAGAATCAACAGAAATTACGATTAATAGCAGACCTCACTAACTAATGTCACGAATACAACAGCAAGTAGACGATCAAAGAAATGAAATAGAAGGTTTAAAGGCACGATTACAGGAAGCTTATGACGATACTGCTGAGATTCGCAATCTGTATGAAGAACAAGGAAATCCTTACGGAACAATGGGTTTCTCGATATTGTAATCAGCATAAGCGCGTATTCAACCAGTTATTAACATCGCACTAATTGAACGAGGATCTGTGTATAAGGATATCGAGTCTCTGATGATCGGTTTTCTTTAAAAAGTTTGTTAAATATACTCCGCAAACAGGAACGACAGTAGAACATAATTCTGTGCTTCTTAATGTTTCCGTACAGGAAGAAGAAGAGTAGGATGGGTTATAGTGTCTGTACGGGAATTGAAAAGAGCCAGAGTGAAATCTGCTCAAGATTCGAGTCAAAAGAGTCGGATCAGAGGATCAAAGTTCTATCGTAATTGACAACAATTCTTATGAAGCTGTTTGAGGGGAAGTTTGGTGGCTGTGCACGTTTAGCTTAATGGCTTCGATCCTGTTGTGCGATTTTGTTATATGAAGACAAATCTTGTGATTCCTTTTACAAATTCCTTTTAGCCATTAACGGGGTATGATCGGTCACCTTACTGCAATTATATACTCAATTTTGATATTATAGCTGAGTAAACATAATCCTGTAAAGCGATTCTATTGCACATTATTAACATCGGGACTATATCACGGATTCAAGAATTATTCGGAAGAGGCATGGTAGAATAAAGACGAGATGAATTATTGAATATATTAGAAGAGGTGAAATCTTTATTCACTTCAGATAGTGCATTTGATATCCATGGCAATCTTATTACAATAAAAACGATAAAATATGTCTTGTTTCGAAATGTCTGGAATATTCCGATCGACAGTTCTTTGACATAAAAGGAGCATCAACCCAGTAAAATCCCTGACTGTCATACGTCAAGGAGTTTAACCTCGCAAAATTAACAATGATTTCACGTGATTAATTTTTCGGGATAATCTATAAACGAGGGAGTGGATATACTAATTTAAAAATGCGTAAAGTTTTGGAAAAATTGGTGCTGTCGACTTTTAATGCATACGCTCTTACGAAGCAAGGTGTCCGGTCATTCTCTACCTCGTCCGTTACAATGCAAGGTATTACGAGAATTCTACTAAAATCTCAAATGTATTGTTGGCATTAAACCTGTAAGTATTATTAACGTGTCATAGATTATATTCAAAAGACAAGAAAACAATAACGATATTCAAAACGATACCATCATTACGTGAATGGAAGCAGAAACTTGCGAGAGAGGGCAGGACACTTGGATTTGTTCCAACAATGGGTGGACTGCACGAAGGACATTTAAGTCTCGGTAAATTAAGACGGAAAGAATTGAGTCAATCAACGTTGTCATTAACATGTACCTGAATTCTTCACACAGCAAAACAAGCGGCCAGCATATGTGATACAGTGGCAGTGTCGATATTCGTAAACCCGGCTCAATTTGCACCGCATGAGGATCTAGACCAATATCCACGAACGTTAGAAAAAGATCTTGAGCTATTAGAGGCTACAAATAGTGTAGATGCCGTGTTTTTTCCAACAGTCAAGGACATTTATCCAAATGGTATTCCATTGGACGTGGAGAAGCAGCAGGGAACATTTGTAGAGGTCAAGGGTAGATCGCATCAGGTAAACTAACCACGATACGACTGACAATTGAATATTACGCATATTCACGTCCTTATGGCCCTATTTCCGTAGATGGAAGGTCAAACGCGGCCAGTATTTTTCCGGGGTGTCGCCACGGTGGTCTGTAAGCTCTTTAATATAGTTCAACCGACACACACATTCTTCGGTCAGAAGGATGCGCAACAGTGTGTTGTCGTTCGGTCTTTAATTACTGATCTGCACTTTCCTATCTCATTTCACGTTGGTGAGACTATCCGTGAATACGACGGACTGGCAATGAGTTCTCGAAACCGATACCTGGCCCCTGAAAATAGGCAGTTTGCAAATGTGTTATATAGAGCTTTGAACAAAGGGAAGCAAGTGTTTGAAAAGGATGGCATCAGGGATAGAAAGGGTATTATTGCAAAAGCACAGGAAGTTGTTGAGGCGGAGTCGGAAACGAAGGATGTCAAGTTGGATTATTTCTCATTGGCACATCCGAGGACTTTGGAAGAGTTGGAGAGCGTAGGAGAAGATGGTGCTATATTATCTGGTGCTATTTATATTGCTGGAACTCGGTTAATTGACAACTTGTTGCTTGATTGTGAACTTTAGCCAGCAGATACGCTCTAACTTTTGACATTGTTCCTTCCAGCATGTTTGATGCTTGGGCTATCAATCAGATGAGTTGTACAGTCATCTGTATTCTGTAATATCAAATAACGAACATTCTTTTGAAAAATGTCAATTACTAGGCAAGTATCAAAAATGCTGTTGAAGCGTTTACTAGTGTTACAAATACTTTAACCTCTCCATAAACACGAGATGATTTCAAGCGGCATATTTAAGCGCGCGGGTTTGGTGTATATTTTTACGTTGAGATACATTCATTTTGACAGGAAAACTCTAATTCTTACAAAATTCAATGTCTTCCAAGCTAAACGTTTGGAGTCTAAGAAAGAAATCTTCGTGATTTATCGTATGAATGACACATTTTAATTTATACTGTTCCTGTATGTCTGCGATTCATACATTCAATCAACTTATACTAACGGCCCTATCCTAACAATCCCGAACTTTTATTCCTCGTCGACCATGCTTTGCCTAAGGTGCCAATTTCTACTGTTGTAGTGGCTCCTTTCATATCAAACTCGCATTGACCCATCATTTCCAAAGAGAGAATCAACTTTCGACACCCCATATAGAACTCGTACCATTGTCTTATGATCAAATTCCTAGTTTGTTGTATCGACGGCATGGAATGCTAGGAGTCGTGCTAATTTGAAACTCAGGAAGACTTGATTGTTGATTCGTCTCGAAACGCTTTCAAAAGACAAGAGATTGTCGACAAATATACAGCTTTTGAATGACCTACTGCATTCGGTTGGGCATGCCCCGTAGACAGAAGACGCGAACATGAATTCGCCAGTTGGAAATGCCATCATAATTGTTAATAAACTGGCTGTCCATATGCTTCATACACCTTTGAATTGTATTCACTTTATTCCTTGAAGACAAGATTGATAAAAGCCTTGGCAATTGGTTTAAGTAACTAAGGTTAGAATTTATTTGATTGGATTATTCACGTCGTATTATGTTCGATATGGGTATAAATGCTGATTATTCTAAAGTACATACTTTATTCGTAATCATGATTAACGGCTCTCAATATAAAGCTTCCTTCTCCTCTACAACAACAGAATTTCCTTCAATGTCCTGTTTACCTACAACTCTCCCGATATTGAATACTTTAGCCCAGTTAGGGCCTTGCAATTGATGAGTAATGTTGTCAACTGCATCCGTTGGGACTATAATAACCATGCCAATCCCACAGTTGAATGTTCTGAGCAATTCATCTGGTTACGCGCAATCGCCAGAATGCAGGAATCATTAAGAGATGTCACATAATATAAAGAGCATAGATAGCAAAGACAATCAATAAAAGTATAGCTCTCACTTAAATCTCACCTGGCTGAATATTACCAACACGCGCAAGCCATTTAAAGACTGGGGGAACTTCCCACTGCCTTGCATTAATCACGACGCCGACGTCATCGGGCAGAATCCTTGGGATGTTATCATAAAATCCACCGCCAGTGATGTGAGACAAACCTTTAACTGTGGCTCCCTTTACAATGTCCATAACCTGCTTGACATATATTCTGGTTGGTACAAGTAATGCCTGGCCAAGAGTAATAGACGTATCCCACGGACAAGACGAGGCGTAAGTGAGATTATTAGAGTCGATTATTTTCCGAACCAGTGAGAAGCCATTTGAATGCAATCCGGAAGATGCAAGACCAAGAAGAGTGTCACCAGGTTTTATCAAAGATAGACGAGGTAGGATTAAATTGCGTTCTACTACTCCAACACAAAATCCGGCCAAATCGTATTCGCCTTGATTTTCATTGAAAAACGACCGGGGTATGTAAAGAGAAATAAGCAGCCATTATGAGGGTTTGAAAATCGCGCGTCTAGTATTAGCGGACAATCAGTTTGGTCGAAAGAAATTCAAGTTAGTCACGTTACCTAATTTATAAAGTCCCGGCATCTCGGCAGTCTCACCGCCAATTAAAGCGCAACCGGCCTCTTTACATCCATCAACGATCCCGCTGACAACATCAGTTGCGACGTTCACTTGCAGTTTACCACATGCATAATAGTCCAAAAAGAATAATGGCTCGGCTCCTTGCACAATCAAATCGTTCACGTTCATGGCAACAAGATCGACACCTAATTATAACACAAAACGCAGCCGAAGACAATTAGAAACACAAAAATCTACCACGTTCACTCTCTGAATCTTTACCTATCGTCTTGTATCTATTAGTCGCCTGAGCAATCTTCAACTTGGTCCCAACACCGTCAGTGGCAGCAACCAACAGCGGGTCGCTGTATTGCAGTGGTTTAAGATCAAATAACCCCCCAAATCCACCGATTTCTGCTTCAGCCCCTGGTCGACGAGTGGTTTTTACAAGCGGTTTTATCTTCTCCACGAGCAAATTACCGGCATCAATAGAGACACCAGCTGATGCATAAGTGTTATGAGATTTGGGTGTCGATAAAGAGCTAGAAAGGTGAAATTTAACTGTCAAAAAATGAGGGGGAAAATTTACAAAAAAGTGTAGATAACAACGATAATCACCGATGACCTATATCCTTTCGGTAATACATAGAATCAAAGTGAATTGATCCTACACCCTGATACGCCTTGGCGACTGCTTCTCCTAATGTGGGAGCAACAGCCGATACGGCCAATACACGACCACCGGAAGTCGAGAGTTTATTGTTTTTGTTTATGCTCGTACCCGCATGAAAGATTAATGCATCTGAGATATAAATGCACATAAGAATGCATATTTGATTAAGTATTCGGAGATTGTAGTAAGTTGTGGATATACATACCGGAAGAGAGGTTATTAAAAGTAATCTCTTTTCCTTTTGAATATGAACCGGGATATCCTCCGGATGCGATAATGACTGTAGCAGCGTACCCTGGCTTTATAGCTATCTGAACTGAGTCTAATCTCCTTTCAACACAAGCCTACATGGACATTTTAAAATTAATAATATACTTTACCTACTAAATCCAACTAGCTTTGAGGTTTACCATCATAATCTCGGCTAGATCTGAATCATCACTGAGCAAAGGAAGGATGGTTTCTGTTTCAGGGTCACCGAATCTAACATTGTATTCAAGTACTTTCGGTCCTGAATTTGTGATCATTAGGCCGGTGAAGAGTATTCCAACAAACGGGAAGCCTGAATTGAGAGTTACGCTGTGTAAATAAGGTATTGTTAATGAGGAAAAAGAAAGAAAAAAATTGTTGAAGGCAAGTACCATCATGTCGCATTCCTGTTATCGTTGGCTTCAATATGATAGTATCAATCTCGGTGAGAAGTTCTGGTGTTACAATAGGAGTTGGGCAATAACAACCCATACCTCCAGTATTCGGTCCCTATCGGATACAATGAATCGAACGTATACTGGTGAATAAATTTTGCAACAACAGTAAGATGTAGCTATCATAATGTCTTACCTGATCGCCGTCGAAAGCGCGTTTATGATCCTGAGCAGGTGGAAGTGGCACAATAGTATACCCATCACAAATTGCCAAGACACTCAGTTCTTGTCCCTCAAGATACTCTTCGATGACCACTTCATCGCCTAATAAATATAAAAATGATATTTATATTCATTGGCCCTATATACAACTTTTTCAGAAAGTCGCGGACCATACCAGCATTCCCAAATACCCGATCTATCATTATTTCCTTCAACGCGTTCAAAGCCTCCTCTTTATTTGCTGGTATCAGGACTCCTTTGCCAGCAGCAAGACCTGACGCTTTAATCACTACGCGATGAGTAATGGATTCTATGTATGCTTTGGCTTGAGTGTAGTCTGAAAAAGACTTTCAATATTATAAAAAAGTCTTTTTGAGCAAAATGTATTGATTCGATTAAGAACTAGTTTCATGGTGTGTATTTACCTCGTAAGTTGCTGTCGGTATGTTATGTTTCTTCATAAAGTTTTTTGCAAACGCTTTCGATCCTTCCATAACTGCCGCTTTTGCTGATGGGGCAAAGCACGGAATTCCAACTAAAGTACACGGAATTAAGAAAAATTCGATTATTTTTATGATTTTGAAGGATGAAACAAAATGTTTTCGGATGCGCTTGGTAGAAAATGCCACAGACAAGCAATATGGCTTTTGCTAACCTCTTTTAAAAGCCGCCTCAATTCCGTCAACGATTGGTTGCTCTGGTCCAGGAACAACGAGATTTATCTTGCATAAAAAAAAAAGACAATAATTTAAACGTTTGTTTCGACGTGTATGGAGGATCAATTTGTAAGAAAATGAAAATTGATTACGTGATTGACAACAGCAAACTTTGTAAGCTTAGCAAAGTCATCCGTATCAATTGGGACATTTGACACTCTGGATAATCCCTTTGCTGTTCCACCATTACCTACGCGTATATAAAATCCTCATAAGTTCGTCATGAAAACTTTACAGTTACTAAAATTTGAGTAATCGTTGTTACCAGGTGCAACATATACATGCTCTACTCTTGGAGACTTTGTCAACCTCCATGCAATCGCGTGCTCGCGACCACCCGAACCGATTAATAGAATGTTGAGCAATTCCGCGCCTATTAATTACTATTATAATTATTAAAAGTACTTGTCGCGATTTGCACTAATGGTGAATGTAAGATTCTTTACCGGACGACATTATGAGTAACTCAATTTTTGACTAGCGAAATAAATTTTCCGCAGATTATCAATTCGCGATGTGTCATGTGCAAAGCAAATTTTTGGTCACGCATCTTGTGGATCAAGTAAAATTATGACTTACAATTTTGCGAGCACGAAAATTCTTTAATCGATCAAGCCAACAAAACGCGACAAACCTCAACTAAAATCCAAGAAATAAAAAGGTTCGATAAATTATAGATCAAGGAACAGGTAGTTGGTTAGATATCTATAAAATTAAGTAACGAAAACTGCAAGAAAGCTGGGGGCTGGTTCGATTTTCAGTCACTTGGATAATTGATTACTTATGGGTTCGGCAGTTTTGCGTCGAGGCCCGAGTGAGTAATAGGTTACAATAATGTTTACAGCAGTTTGTTTATTGATGCTTGCTAGCATATACAAGGAATACAAAAAAGAAAATAACATGGAACATTGTACATCAATGTACAAACGCCGAAAGTCCGTTCTCACTGCTTAATTTGCGTCAATCTAATCTCTCCATTAACTTCTGTCAATTGCACAGTTGGTTCCTCTTTGAGCTCAAAGAATTTCTCCTTATACTTCTTCCTCAAAATAAATGCACCAACGCTAATCGAAGCTAATGCAAGCAATCCACCAGTAACACCTAACCCAATAGCAAGGGAATTATTCCCCTTATTATCGCTTTCGTTGTCATCGTTATTGTCGCCATCATCTCCATTTCCATCGTCATCTACATTAAATGCACCCGACGTACAAGTCCCAAGAGTGTTCTGTCCGCTGACACAATCAGTTGCTTTGACAATTGTCGGCGGCTCAGAGGCACCAAATTGCAGTAACCAGTTCGGTCTATAACCTTTTACATATAATGGATACTGTATCGAAATCAAATCCTTTATCGCTACATCCGGCATTGCATCAGCATTTTCAAACCAATCCTCGTGTCCACTTGGGTTCACCAAGCCTCCGATACGATAGACTCTTTTCTCGTTTATGAAATCGGGAACATCGTCGTCACCAGTTTGGAAGTATCCGAACAGTTTCAGCCAATTACTCCAACTCAACTGGTTTGGATCAAAGTAAGTAAGGTCAATTAGGAAGTCGACATCAAAAACGGCCGTTTGGAATTCGTTAAGATTGGTATACGTCGTCGTCTTGGTAGTAAAGGGAATGGCACCTGAGCAGAGGATAGAGATCGTGTCATCGAGGCAGTGAAGAGTAAGGAATATATGGCGAACTTAGTTATGTAATATGAGAGCGTACCTGCATTTTGAGTAAGATTCGTATAATAGGCATTAGCAATTATGTTATATGCACTCCCATCATACCCAACCCAAGCAATAGATTTCTTTTTCTTATTTTGTAAAGAAATTTTGGCGTTCTGAGCATGGCAAGCATAGGTAGCTTGGGTGCTATTATAATAAGTGTTGGCCGCATCCTCCAAGTCGAAGAAAAGTGAGACAAGTTTCACACGATCTGCTTTCTACCATAGATATTGAATGAATAGAGTCATAATTTCAGTTAGCGTCTGCATATAATAATAATACATGCGAATCGAAATTCGCTATTATAAAGTCGATCCGCTGATCTTTGATCGGCGAATTCGGAAAGGTGAATGACCTGCTAAAACGTTGCAAGTCCATTCAATGGTTCAAGACAGCATACCTTCAACGGAGACATATCATCATTTAAAGAAAGGGTCACGTATTTTGGTGTATTTGCAGGCGTGTTCGTAAAAACGACACCGACTTGCCCAAGTTGGGCATCAGTCCCGGTGAAGGAAGCATTACTTATTGTCTGTTGTAAACACGCAGATGTAACATTCTCTGGATTCGTGGCATAAAGGACGGTTTTCTCTACGCCTATTGCCTATATAAAAGGGAAAAAAAAATTTTTTTTCATCGAATCTCGTGGAATCGAAAGTCAATTTTTTTTTGCTTGCTTACCTTCAAAAATCCAATAGCACCAATATCGGTAACGGCAGTGTTATTAACAGGCACTTGTATATATGCCTTTACATTAGCAGGAACTCCGACACCACTCGGACTAGTAGTAGTACAATGCAATACGTATGTCTCGTTTGTAAGTGCATTTGTGACAACCTTGAATGAATTATGATATGACACTTGGAAGTCAGAGTCGTCACCTGAAAATGAGAAGACGGTTATTATACAGAGTCGAGGGCGCGAATTAGACAGTCAAGTTTAACCTACCAAACGAGACTTTTGAAGGGAAATAGTCCGTTCCGCTGACAAAGTTCGTAGAACATTGTGCGTGGGTCGAGGGTAAGCTTATGCCCAATACTAGTAAGACCACTAGTAATATTCGCTTAAACATTACTTCAGACATTACTGGCACATATAGCGTAAAGCGAAAATTGACGCCAAAGAAATGCTCTAAATATAGTAGCACCAAACGTTCTAAATTTGATAATGATCTGGGATGCCAAGCATCTTTCACCAATCTAAAATTAGTAACATATACTGTAGATGTAGATGTGAATAAGGCTAAAATTAGTACGATGCCCTGACAATCATAACAATGATTGGTTACAATTCTTTGCCGAGAAACAGTTGAGACGTTATAATAGCTCGGGTCGTTCATTTCACTGACAGTATGAACTTTAAAGTAAACGAACCCAAAAAAAGATTCTAACAAAGGGAAGCCTAATGAGGAATATCTAAAATTAAACAATGGTCGTAATGACAATATTAGTCTTCATTGCATTTCGTAACACTCGCTTCCATTAAAAGTAAGTGTGGAGTTAATAATATCTCTTGTCATTTATGACATACTAAATTGGGTTTGCTTACATAAAAAGAGCTGTAAACGATAAGAACGAGTTATATTTGTCCCTAAATGGCAGCTATATGGTTAAAGGGCCGTGTTCTGGCGTGTTAGTGTTAAATGATATCAATAACATGTTAACAATTCATAGTAATATTAAAATACTAGTGCCAATTAACTCTATCGTCTACAAACTAATTCGCCAGGAGCGGCTAATGGCGATCTTTAAAAGACGCGTCAAATTAATCATCTTCGATTAACAGTCCTATCCTTGTGCATTGTTGTGAATGTCTATTGTCTAGGGAGCTCACAGAAGTTAGACTAACGTCTAACCGTGCTAACTATACAGAAAGGAATAGTTCAAGTAATTGGTACGATATTAAAGAGTCAGCACAACAATTGAGTGAAATTTTATACTTTAGCAATAGAGGGGTGTGAAGAGCCACCTTCAAGAATTTTGGCTACATGAGCCGATTTGAACACAAACACTCTCCCCGGCGACACATTTGAATAATGGCAAGTTAATCGTATAAAGATTTTTACTGTGGTCAAGAATATTAGTCTTTCGTTTCCCGCTTAGTTAACCAATGATTTTCCGTTTCAACAAGCCTTTAGTATTAGTATTGGGCCTGCGTGCTTAAAGTAGGACGCGAAAATAGAAATATGCTATGATAAAATTATCGTAGTTTTTAAACACTAAAATATTTATAATCAGTTTATTGATAGCATTAAGGTACATTATTAACGCTTTGCCAAAATTGGCATACTTTTCAGGCGTAAATTTTGCATGTGCAAGTCTGGTGCGATAACGAGAATTAAAAGCAGAGACAGATCCTTGGTGATTGCTAGAATCCCAAGCCATTTATTAGTGTTTCTGTAAAGCACAGCCTGTCATGGAGAACAACTCCACCGTACATATAACTGACAATCTAAGTCTAGTTGAGTACTGAATAGAAGAGAGACAGGAATTACTCGACTAACTGCAAAACGGAAATGTCTTTATTCAACTTATTTAAAGGGGCTCCACCAAATTCCCCCTCCTTGACACATTCAGTCGTCGTTTATTAACGCCGCGATCATTCTGTTCGATACATTGTTATAGAAGTAAAAAGGATAAACCAAAGAATTAGCAAGATGCAGATTAATGCGGTTTAATACTACAAAATTATCAATTCTATGGTTCGCTGTTACGTAATAAGTAGGTTCGTTGCATGTTAATTTGTAAGGTAACAAACATAACTATTTCTGTCGACAAAATGAATTAGAGTTAACATCAAAATATTATCACCATGAAATGTTACGCTGTGGAACTGACAGTCAAAAGAATCGAGTGCTCCTTCTGCCAAGTCAGCATTATGTAACATTTCACGGTCCCCCCCTTGAACAATAAAAATTGTAATCTGAGATTAAGAAGAAACTTACCTATATAAATAATAAAAGAAGGTAATAAGATAAAATGCAACTTTCATCAAACTTTCTCTTTTGTGTATTCCCAACGTTCTGAATATCTCGGTCGGATCGAGCGTGTGTTTGTTGTTGTGAATTCTACAAATAATTAATTAATGATCGGGATGACTGAAGTATACAGTGAATGCATTACAGTAGCATAAACCTCTTTTCGTACTTGTAGACATTGTACAGCACCAACGGTATGTTAATCAATGCAACAAACCAATATCCGTTGATTACAAACAAGAACGACAGAAAAGCATGAGACAGCATTTCTGGAACAATAAACTAGAAATGCAACAACGTAAATACAGTTGGAATGTGAGTAATGGCAATTGCATTCGATTGTCTTGCTAGAAATGCATGAACACAATATGGAAGAAACTTGCTTGATTTAATTTACTACAAAGATCAATCGGATTAATATAGTCGCATTCTAAATCAGCATACATTATTGTCTTTCAAGAAGGAGACAAGTGGAATAAAGTTAAGGTTTCATTGGCACTGACATTGACAATGACAGAGAAGCAATACGACTCGTTGAGAGATTCATAACTGATGTATGCGTACAACTATTACGCATATATATAATATAGTCAAAGGATACGAAGAAGACCATGACAAAGAGATGAACAGCAGCCATTATGACTGCAAACAAGAATAATAATGCTTCTGAGCCCATGTTAGAACCATAGTCCAGTGACGAAAATACGCAAGGCTTGTAAATTGGGAACTTTCCTTCAAATGTAAAAAATTGAAGACTTTTTTCATGCTGGTTTTGCGCTCTCACGTGCAATTGATTTGATAATGTGTCACCATCCCCAGTTTAAGGTTCTTCCAACCAATTGAATCTGTTTGTGCATTGAGTATTTCGATTGTCAGATAATATTGCCGGAGAGGTTGTCCGACTTACAGCTTAATATTAACGAGTGTTTGTAAATATGAAAAAAAAGGGGGCTGAAGATTTATCGAGTGTCCGACTTATCGAGTTTACCACAAAAATACGAAATTAACAGAAGAGCAAAGAAAGTTAGTAGATGAGCATTTTATGACAGAGAAGTAAAGCTGATTATTGTAGCGTTGACGCTTGCTGCTCATTACAGTCACGTGCCTATTCCGATCAACAGATCGAACAAATTAATTATGTTCTTGATGAAGACGAAATTATAGGGAAAGGTCCTAATGACACGCTGAGCTTGATGGAATTAGTCGAATTAATAATGCAAAACCGTTTAAAAATTACTTGTGACAGCGCAGGTGGGTCAGAATAAAAATAATGCTACCTTTTAATTTTACTTATATTTAGTAATTTGCTGTTATTACGAAAGTGTTTAGCTTAATTTCATGGTATCTGGACATACTAAATTTAACTGTGATGGTAGTTTTGGATGATTAAAAAACTAAACCGCAAAACGACCGAATCATGTTGTTGAATTTGTAAAAAATAAAGCTCAGCGTTATGACAACGGAAAAGGTTTTCAGTATTTGAATCTTAATTCTGTGTTGGGGATTTCTTTACAAAATTGAATGGTTTTGCAAAAATATCAGCATTTTCTTTTTGAAGCAGCTAATCCTGGAATTGTCAAAGCTCAAATGGTTGCTATACTGAATTTAGTTTATTGAAAGAAATTAAATCCTCTTCCATCCTAGTACTAACCCCTCCTCCTTTGGATTACAATATCTTTATCATAATATTCGCCCATTTGTCAGAGATGAATTTAAAGACATTACTTGTCCCAAGCCAATATTGAATAATTTTTATATTAATAAAAATGTTAAATGTTTCTAGTTAATTTTTTTTCTTGATCTTAATTATTATAATGATTAAAATAATTAGGAGGTATTAAGTAAATTCTCGCTTTCTCTCTCTTATTAAGTTGGTTTTCTCGTTTAACCTTTGGAGTTTTTTTTTCCACTTTTTATAATAAGCTTCGGGATCTCGACTATTCTTTCGTTTTCCATTGAGCCTCTCATTTCCGCTTTCTCCTTGACTTTGGCGTCTGTCTTAGTCAAATTTAAGCTGGATTGCGATTGAGAGTTCATCAATATTAACAGCTCTTTGAGAACGAACGCCTCCGTATTTTTCAATTTCAAACATCTCAGCTGCCTTTTTCTCAAGCATCGAAATCATATAGTTGTCGCAATTTAGTTTAATTTTTTTAATGCACTCTTGCATCACTTTACCCACTTTCAAGATCGATAGTATTTATGTCTTTTGGTAAACGATTTTTTGTTTCAATAACTGTGTAACCTTTTGCTATATCTCTGCAAGTCTAGCAAAGACCTTACTAGCTTCAACGTAAATCCCTTCTGAATCAACTCCCAGAGTTTTGCTTACCTGTTCTGTTTCTTCAGCGTTTATCTTTGGCCGTTGAGTAGGTATTTCCGTTTATTTTATATTTGGGACTAATTGACAGTAAAAGTGATTTTTATTTTGAAGGCCAAATTTACCTACTACTACTGGAATGCCAATTTGAAAACCAGGAGGCGAATATTTGGTCCTTTAAAACAGGAAGCATATTGTTTTATTCTTTTTGGTTTATTTCCCGAACATCTTTATTATGCTTCTTGGTAACAGGACGCAATGTCCCTTAGTATTAGGTCTAATTTCAGAGCAAGTAAAAACATTATTTCCTAAGTTAGTTACTAAGACTTTAAGTAGCAATTTCCACCATCAGCTTTATCATTTAAGACTTTAACAGTGTCACACATTACGTGAGCATTAAGATTGTGTTGGCAAGTATAAACCGGGACACCTTTCTGTCAAGTAAAATGTTTTTCTATTTATTTTGCGAATCTTTTTCCACAATTCGCACAATGACTGCACTTTGGATTTTGGTTTTTGACATTGAGAACATAAAAATCATGCCACGTGTTTCAAAATCATTACTATTATAATTAAATCTCGCTTTAAAGTAATTTACAAAAAAAAAAAGAAAGTCTACTCAACAAATGGCTGCTGGATTTGTTCTTTTTATGTTTCTTCTAATTTTCGTTTCTTTCTTGGTTCATCATAATTTGATGTTAATGTTCGTTTATTGTTTATTATTTTTCTTCTTTATCTAGGTATTCTTGGAGAGTTTGGGTGTCATTGATTTTAAAAACATAGGAGCAATTTTTTTTCTCCTTTTTTTTTTAGAATGCTCGGCCAACTTTAATGTTAGTCACATTCTGGCATGATATTAATTTAAAGCTGTAATTTACATAAATTTGTGTATAAATGTGATAACTAAAATGTTAGTAGTCAAATTAGTTAACTTTCAGTCACATCAGCCTCTCTCGTTTACGTCACATGGGGCGGACTGCAACAAAACCAGACAAAGTGAACATTTATAAATGAGAGGCTGATTATGAAGTGGCTGTAAAATTGACCAGTGTGACTGATGACGTTTTGAAAGGTAATAATGGTGCTCATTCATAACTTGGACTTGTTAATTTTAATGTTCACTTTATCATACCAGAATGTGATGAATATAAACCATAACAGGATTAATATAGGACTACCTCTATATAAAAAATATAAATATGAAACTAATTTACATTAAATCCACTATGGAACCCAAGAATTACAGCACTATTAGAAGCATTCTGAAAAAATTATTTCCTTAATTTCAATCAAGGTCATTTTTTAGTCTCTTTAACTTCAATTTGAGCAACTTGACCATTCTGTTGCTCTTTCAATAATTTGTTTTCCTCTTCTAATTGACTAATTTTTTCTTCTAAACTCTTTATCTTATCCAATAGCTCTTGCTTCTGTCTTTTACTTCACTCTTCTGACTTTTCTTGAAATTTGATTACTTCTTCTCTTTCTATTTCAATGGTTACTTCAGCAGTAATTAATTGCTCTCATAAATCATTGATTTGGCGTTCATAAAAAAGTGCCATTCCTCCATTTTGATGAGGTAAAAGAGGAAGTTCTTTTTCATCTCCCTCTTCTTTACAATCACAAGTGTATCTAGTCTTTAATCTTCCACAACTGCACTTGGGTAATTCATCATTTTCAAACTTTTCTTTACAACTTTCGCAAGCCTTATCATTTTCAACCATTTCACCAGTCACTTTGCTTCGCGTTCTGATTTGACATTCTGCTTTTTTCAAACCAGGACAAAAAACGCAAGTAGAATTACTACTGTGTCATTCTTCCAGCTCTAAGATTGTGTAGAGTAACTCTCTCATAACTACTTAGTTAGAACTTCAATTTTAGAAACAAACTCGTGATTTTTAGATTCTTTTTTTATCAAATTCTGGAACGCAATTTTCATCTTTTTACCTATACCTAGTAGTTTGAACTTATTTTTTTTCTTAGGCAAGGGAGGTAAAGGTTTTCTTTCTAAGTATAGTTGCGTTTTCAGTTCCTCTTCTCTTTTTTCGCTTTTTGCTAACATTTTTGATTTTTTTTCCAACTCTTTTTGCAGTTTTTCCTTCTTCAGAACTTCCTCATTAATTCTCTTGTCAGATTTTTGTAGCATTAGCATTTTTTCAGTAATTATCTCCCTCAATTCTTTGGCTATTCTTTTATTTCACTTTTCACTAGTTTCAATGGCGCTCAAATGAACTTGTGCTTCCTCCATTCAAAATTCAGCTAATTCTCTTAATTCCAAATCCTCTCAATAATCAATTCCTTGGGTTAGTTTTTCCATTATTTCTAAAGCATTCTTTTCTAAAAGTTCTGCTTGTCCTTGTTCTTCCTCAGTTAATCTTTCTTTGATATTGGCAAATATATCTTTAACTTTGCCTACTTGCTGATCATAATTGATATATTTTTTTACATCATTTACATCATTAATTTCATCTAATAAATAATCTTGTTCTAGTTTTTGCTTATCATCTCTATAGAGCATAAATCAGTACCTTACATTATTGATTATATCAGAGATATTACTCCTTTCCTCCTTAGCTAAAATTATTTCACTAATTGGTTTTGTTGATTCTTGTTTTTTTACTATCATAATATTTAAAATTATATTTTGTTTATTGTTATTTATTCTTTTAATATACTTACATCCTTTTATAGGTGATATTCAGTATATAGTTATTTTAATATAATTTTTTTATTTAAACTTAAAAAAAATCAAAAGTAGGAGAAGCTAGCAACGCTGCTGAAAATTAAACAGAGCTTAATACCAGAAAGGAAAAATTAACACGTGTTGAAATGATGGAGAGGACTTTAGTCTAAATATTTTATTCATTGCCAGTATAGGTTGGTCTTGGACAAGTAATGTCTTTGAATTCATCTCTAACAAATGGGCGGATATTATGATAAAGATATTCTTGTCTTTTGTAATCCAAAGAAGGAGGCATTAGGACTAGGATGGAAAAGGATTTAATTTCTTTGGTAATTTCAGAAACACTTGCTTTCCTAGTTTTTAACAAATTAAATTCAGCAAATGCACCATCAGCAACCAGCTGAGCTTTGACAACACCAGGTTTGGTTGCTTCAAATACAAAATGCTGGTATTTTTGCAAACCACTCAATTTTTTAAAAAAAATTCCCAACACAGAACTAAGATCCAAATATTGAAATCCTTTGCCACCTTCATAACACTGAGCTTTATTTAATCCCGCTGTACTCGATTTTTTCACAACCTCAACAATATGATCCACGCAATCTACTGTTGTTTTTCTATAGAGTTTTTTAATCAACCCAAAACTACCATCACATTTAAATTTAGTATGTCCAGGTATCATGAAATTTAATTCGATACTTTCATAATAACCGCAAATTACTAAATATAGGTAAAA